CCTCAGAGAGAGGAGGCATATTTGAAGGTGATGGTAAAGACTTTGTTGGCAAAGATGGAGAACACTCTGGAAAACTGCATTGTACCAAGAGGCAACGAATGATGAGTAAAAATGAGGATGCAGTTGTGGAACAAATTGCTTCAAATAGTAGTATGGCTCCTTCTCAAACATTCATTTCTACAGATGACCTGCTGGACTGCTTGGTGAATCCACAAGTAACCAGGATAGTGGCACAACTTCTGATACAAGGAAGAAGTTTGTGGTTCTAAGGAAATGACTTTTAAAATAATACTTTAAAAATATTTTTAAGTAGTATGATTGTTAAATAAAAAAATGGCAGAGCACAAAGTTAATTTGTGGGCCAGCATGCTTGTAAATGCACTTGTTCTTACCTAATTGTGTTTCAGTCTCTTGCCACCTTCATTCACGAACATCGCTCTCTGAGCCAGCCAGCTCTTTGTTAACTTGCTAGGCCTTCTTTCTTCAGTGACTTTGCCTTTCCTCTCACATCTGGTCCTTTTAGCTGATCTCAAATGTAAGCCCCAGGTGTTCTTAACAGAAAGTAATACCTCTTCAGCAGTCTCAAGGCGAGGTCGGCCTGCTGCTTGTTTTTGTAAATAAAGGTTTACTGGAGCACAGCCATGCCATTCATTACATATTGCTGATGGCAGCTTTAGAGTTACAGTGTCGGAGTTGAGCAGTGACCAAGCCAGTGTGGCCTGCAAGGCTGAAAATACTGTCTATCCCCTCATAAAGAAAGCTTGCCAACCCCTGGCCTAATGCATCCATTGGGTGGCTTCTAGCCTCGATCCTAAGTGATTGATTATACCTCTGACACCTGCAGAATTTTCACTGGCTAATCCCTGTCACCCAGAGCAGGATACCAATCAGGAAAAAAGTCGGCGGGGTCCAATATAAGGCCTCCTTATGGAAGGAACTGGGACCTCTAGGAACACTAGTCCCGGAAAGGAAAAGCACTGGATGTTACTGGCTCCTGCAATGGACTAAAGGTTTGGTCTAGTGGGATTGAGCCTTCTCTCATTACATTTGCAAGAAGATCTGGGGATAATTATTACCATTACTGTCTAACTAAGACTTTAGAAATTAGGGCACTTGAGTGGCTTAGTAGGTTAAGCATCTGCCTTCAGCTCAGGTCATGATCCCACGTCCTGGGATCGAGTCCTGAATCAGGCTTCTTGCTCAACAGGGGGTCTGCTTCTCCTTCTACCCCTCCTCTCTGCTCCTGATCTCGATCTCTCTCTCCCTCTCTCTCATATAAATAAAATCTAAAAAAAAAAAAAGAATTTAGAAATTAGAAAAGCATATAGATCTCTGAGTAACCATTTGTGAAACAAATATATAACAAAAGGTAAGCAAAGTAATCTTTTAAGATGAATTGACTACTGGCTCCATCCTTGTCAGTCTTCAGATTCAGGGTATCAAGTACATCCAAAGAAAACATATGCCTTCTAGCAGTGAGGGAGGTGTTATATGAACATGCCCAGGAAAAGAAGGGTCTGGAAGAAACCTGTCTGTAGCACTTACTGTGATTGACCACTGTATACCTATTTATTTATTATCTTCCCCAACCAGAATGTCACTCCATGGGGTATGAACTTTGTTTTGATTATTATGGAGTCACAGAGCATTGATCAGAGTGCCCAGCATAGGGTAGGGGCTTGTTCAGTATTTGGCTGAGTGGATTATAAAAGGAAGAACTTGTTGGCAACACTCCATCAAACACATTGTAGTAGAGGGTGTTGTGGCCAAGGATAAGATGTCTGTTCCCATTAGTAGGTAGATCCTTATTGCAGAACTAGACTTACTGTTTTCTTCAGATATTTTATTTTTGATGTTTGCTACTCCTTTGACTACTGTTTTTCAAATTGCAGGTTGTGGCCCATTAGCAAGTAATAAAATCAATATAGTGGGCAAGACCAGCATTTTTAAAAAGTTAAATAGAATAGGTTATTTCAGTGAATTCATTAGTAAGTATAAGTATTATTTCATGAAATTTCCCAGGAAAAGTATTTTTTTAAGGATAAATATATTTCATATAACTTTTTAGTTGTATCTGTGCATGTACTGGGCCTGATATAAATTGTATATCTTCATGTCCTCCTGTAGGTTGGGGTCACAAAAGTTTGAAGGAGATTCTGAAACAAAGCATTTGATGCAGTTGGAGGTAACAGTCTTTGACATGCAGAGAGCTGGGAAGAGAGTTAAGACATTGGTATGAAGGGATTTCTAAGTATAAATGGGTGATGGGAGATAGTTTCCTGATTTTATCAAGATGGAGATCTTGGCTATCTGTGAAGGGGAATTTGGCAGTGAGGAAAGATAGTCAATTGGGGGGACCGTTAGGTGCTCAGGGAGCTAGGTCCCATTTCATCCTGCATTTCTTGTATAAGCAAGCATGTGTGAGTGAAATTATTAGATAAATATATTGACCCTGCAGAGACCAGAGGCATTGAAGACTACAGGCTCATCCCCTGCTCCCAGGACCGGGCCACTTCTGGGTGGGGCAACAGGTTCCAGCTCAGCTCACACTGAGACTATAAGAACTACAAACAAAAATTCTATTAAGAATACAGCTTAGCGGGGCGCCTGGGTGGCTCAGTGGGTTAAAGCCTCTGCCTTCGGCTCGGGTCATGGTCTCAGGGTCCTGGGATTGAGCCCCGCATCGGGTTCTCTCTGATCAGCGGGGAGCCTGCTTCCCCCTCTCTCAATGCCTGCCTCTCTACCTGTGATCTCTCTCTGTCAAATAAATAAATAAAATCTTTAAAAAAAAAAAAAAGAATACAGCTTAGCAACAGCAAAGGAAACAGTCAACAAAACAAAGAGGCAACTCACAGAATGGGAGAAGATATTCACAAATGACAGTACAGACAAAGGGCTGATATCCAAGATGTATAAAGAACTCCTCAAACTCAACACTCACAAAACAGATAATCATGTCAAAAAATGGGCAGATGACATGAACAGACACTTCCCCAAAGAAGACATACAAATGGCTATCAGACACATGAAAAAATGTTCATCATTGCTAGCCATCAGGGAGATTCAAATTAAAACCACATTGAGATACCACCTTACACCAGTTAGAATGGCCAAAATTAGCAAGACAGGAAACAAGTGTTGGAGAGGATGTAGAGAAAGGGGAACCCCCTTACATTGGTGGTGGGAATGCAAGTTGGTGCAGCCACTTTGGAAAACAGTGTGGAGATTCCTTGAGAAATTAAAAACAGAGCTTCCCTATGACCCTGCAATTACACTACTGAGTATTTACCCCAAAGATAAAAATGCAGTGGAAAGAAGGGCCATCTGTACCCCAATGTTTATAGCAGCAACAGCCACAGTTGCCAAACTGTGGAAAGAGCTAAGATGCCCTTCAACAGACAAATGGATAAAGAAGATATGGTCCATATATGCAATGGAGTATTATACCTCATCAGAAAGGATGAATGTACAACTTTTATATCAACATGGACAGGACTAGAGGAGATTATGCTGAGTGAAATAAGTCAAGCAGAGAGAGTCAATTATCATATGATTTCACTTACTTGTGGAGCATAAGGAATAACATGGAGGACATTAGGAGAAGGAAAGGAAAAGTGAATTGGGGGAAATCGGAGGGGGAGATGAACCATAAGAGACTGTGGACTCTGAGAAACAAACTGAGGCTTTTGGAGGGGAGGGTAGAGGGATAGCTGAGCCTGGTGGTGGGTACTAAGGAGGGCAGGTATTGCATGGAGCACTGGGTGTGGTGCATAAACAATGAATCTTGGAACACTGAAAAAATAATTTTTTTTAAAAAGTTAAAAAAAAAAAAAGTACAGCTCTGCATTGCACCTAACATGTCCAGGTATCAGCAAGGCTAACCTGTCCAGTTGGCACAGTGGCTAAGGCCCATGAGCTTTTCACGGCCCCAAAATGTTTTAGTTTCTTTGGAATTAAAAAAAAAAAAACCCATATAATCTAGCTTTCATTGCATTCATGTTTGTATCAGTGGAGTTGGAAAAATGTAATTGTTAATACTTTTTCACTTTTTATGAGTAAGGGGCCCATGAAGGCAGAAGTCTCTGGAGCCATGAAAGTCATAGGCAGTTCTGAGTATCGGGATTATCAGAATCATTTGAGGTGTTTGCTGAAAATGCAGATATCTAGGCACCTCTCTAGAGCTACAGAACCTGACTCCTTTGGGGTGGGCCAGAATTTGCTAGCTCAGCAAACACCTAAGGACCTAAGATGATTCAAATACCAAAAATGTTTAAAAATCTCTGACCCTAGAGGAAACCCCTAAGACCCATCACAGTCTTGAATTGGGCTTGGTTTAGCAGGAGTTTCCTGTGGGAGTCCATCTGCCCTTCAGATTTACTGAACTAAACCTGTACTGCGCCCTTACTGTCATTTTCAGCTGAATATTATTAACACCCTGGGCACCCCCTGATGCTCTCATGGTTTCTTGTAGTCTTTTACCAGCAGTGGCCTGTGTTTATCATCCAGCTTTCCTGTATCTAGATGTCCTTAAGGATAAAGAGGTTTACCACCAAAGATATTTTCCAAGTATTTTATTCAAAAAGGAGGTACATGACATACACTTATTTAGATTGAGGATAACTATAACATTTACTGACTGGATCATTATACTTTGGTGCAATACCCCTGATACTCAGCTTTGCCCTGAGTTATCCAAACCACTGGAGAACAAGAGCTCATTGCTCCCCCTTTTATTTCTTACATTCATTGTCAAGCCTGCTGAGCTCAGAGGCCAGTGGCTGGGAACCACGCCCAAGCAATAACGAGTCTTTGTCAAGCCACTTAACAAACTAACAGCAACAGTGGCGCTTGGGTGGCTCAGGCAGGTAAGCATCTGATGCTTGATTTCAGCTCAGGTCGGATAGGGCCCGGTGTCAGTCTCTGCACTCAGTAGGGAGTCTGCTTGAGATTCTCTCCCTCTGCCCCCTCTCTCTCTTTCTCTCTTTCTCTCTCTCAAAATAAATATTAAAAAACAAAACAAAACAAAACCCAGCAAGAAAAATTTCAAGATGTCCGTCTGTGAATGAAGCGGAACTCTGGCCCCCTTAACTTCTTGTACTTGAGGCAAGTAGTTCACAGCAGCCAAGGAAAGAGCTCCTTTCACCTCCTCGCAACACCCCCTAGTGTCCGAGTGCACCACCTGCGCTGGGCATCAGCTCTAGCCTCTTGGCCTACAGAGCTTCAAATGAAGAGACTCTAACAGAAACCAAAGCCAGAAGGAAAAAGCCAAGGAAATATGAGGGTCATTCATAGATTACCTGAGATGTTCCTGAAATGGTAACATTAATCTAAAGGCTATGCTCTGTAGTGGTGTAGTGGTGACACAGGAATCGGGATTGGGTTTCCGTCTCTAAGGGCTGCCACCTAGGTGACCCCAGGCAAGGAAGCTTCTTGTATTCTAAGCGTCAGTTTCCCCAACTTTAAGATGGGGATATAATTCTTACCTGACAGGATTGTTTGGAGGAATATATAAATACTATAAGTTAAAGCACCTATTATATTACCTGGTACGATCTAGGCACTCAATAAACAGTGTCTGAATCTAAAATTTATCTGGGGAAATTTTTTTAAAAACCAACACTACTATTTAATAGATAACTGAGCTAGCAAATTAGCAATATGGCTGCTTAATTCCTCTGATTTATTTAAAGTCTTTAAAATCATCAAAAGCTAGACTGCCAAAGAAAATATTAATAATACTAGAACTCACTTAATCTTAACATAGTAGAAGGGTTTCACCCTGGAAGTATCCCACTCTTGTCACTGTCATCTAATTTCTGTCACCAACAGAAGTTAGATGAAGGCAGATTTGGGGTCAACATAGAAAAGGACCAGTCGGAGCCAGAACTGCTGTGTTGCACAAGTCCATGGGACCCAGTTCCCGTGGGCCACAAGCTAGACCACGGCCCCTGAACTGTACAGAACACAGAAGCCAGTCTGGAGTTGTCCCACATGTCCCACTGCACATGGCGCAGTTTGTGAAGAACAGAATTCCCTGTCACAGAATCTGTTCAATTTAAGGCAAAGTGACAAGTCAAGGATATTAAAGAGATGGCTCCTACTTTGGTTGTAGTCTAACTAATTTCTTTCTTTCTTAGTTGGTTTATGGAATGTTCTGGAGCATCTATTTACATCAGGCACAGATGTCAGCCCAGCAATTAAAAAAAGAGAGAGAGAGACAACATCCCTGGCCGCCCGGAAATGAGCAGTCCTCCCCACTCAGTAATACTGTGCTTCTCACAGGAATATGGCATCCCGACGTGATATACAGCTGTCTCCTTCACAGCAGCGCTGAAATTGCATAGCTGTGCTCTCTGCCTTTAAGATGAACACATTCTCTCCTTCCCAAGACTACAACCCTGTTCTTTCCTTCTGCAGATTTGATGTCCACGGTTGTGAATACACTGTTATAACTAAGTTATGTGATTTAAATTCTTAAATGTATTGCTCTTAAGATAGGTTCATTCCAGGTATGAAGGAGAAGTTGAAGAAAGTCTGATTTCAGTGACAAGGATCCTTTGATCTTACAAAATGCTGTTAAGAGGAAAAAAAAATCGAAAACTTGTTTTACAACTTGGCATGTATAGACGAGCAATGTCTTCTGGGAAGGATACCCAGATGTTAATTGGTAAAAGTAATGAGGTACTCTGGGTAAGCCTGGTAGTCATAAAATACCACAAATAAGCGGGGATTCTGCACACAATCTGTGACAGTGTCATACAGGTCAGTAGGGTTTTCAGGGCTCTTTGGAGGAGGCACAATTAGTGAGTGATTTCCACGTGTGTAGGTTCCAGTAAGTACTCGCACATAGTACATATGCTTTCTCCCATGGCTGTCTGGTCTGGAGTATGTATCATTAGCAGAATAACAGGCATCGACAGCAAAATAGGTTCCCTTTCCATATGCCACAGCTGTGAAGAGAAAAAACATTTTTAAGAAGTTCAGTTTATATTGGGTATTTACCCCCAAAGATACAGATGTAGTGAAAAGAAGGGTCATCTGTACCCCAATGTTCATAGCAGCAATGGCCACAGTTGCCAAACTGTGGAAAGAGCCAAGATGCCCTTCAACAGATGAACGGATAAAGAAGATGTGGTCCATATATACAATGGAGTATTATGCCTCCATCAGAAAGGATGAATACCCAACTTTTGTATCAACATGGATGGGACTGAAGGAGATTATGCTGAGTGAAGTAACTCAAGCAGAGAGAGTCAACTATCATATGATTTCACTTACTTGTGGAGCATAAGGAATAACACGGAGGACATTGGGAGATGGAGAGAAGTGAGTAGGGGGAAATCAGAGGGGGAGATGGACCATGAGAAATTGTGGACTCTGAGAAACAAACTGAAGGTTTTAGAGGGGAGGGGGTGGGGGATGGGTGAGCCTGGTGGTGGGTATTAAGGAGGGCACGTATTGCATGGAGCACTGGGTGTGGTGCATAAACAATGAATCTTGGAACACTGAAAAAACAAAGTTAAAAAAAAAAAAAAGTTCAGTTTAGTCTATAATCTGATGTGTTGACCCAATACGTCAAATAAGGTTAAAATAATGTTCAGTTCTTCTCTCCAAAGCCCCCTAAAAATTTTTTTTCATGTGTTTTTAATTTTTAAATGTCATTCCTCCATCCTAGAGATCCAGGCAGTCCTTCTGGGATGAAACATAACGAGCCCAGCCTTGAAACTCTGGCCGCAGCATGGCCGCCAACCATGAAGGGACACAACGCAATCAGTCCACACTGTCCCTCACCAGTTTGGGTTCTCACAGCCGACATCCCATTCAGAGCAGCCAGATTACTTGCTTCCTTACCGTTCTTTCCAGCATAACTGCGGTTAAAGCCATTTCGGTTGACATGTGGCACTGAGTCAGCATCTGTCCCATGGAAGAGCTGCTTCTCATTGTTTTTATGCCCGTTCTTGGCATCCATGGTTTTCTTCTTTGTTTGGTAGCAATTCCAGAGATCTGGATTCTGGATCCTCTCAATCTGCAAATCAACAAGGAAAAATATTCTGTCGGTGCCAAGAGCCTTTGGCAAGATACAGATATGACCATTATTTTTCATAAATAAAAATTAATGCCAGATGGCACCTTTCTACATTCAGAAATCTTTTTAGATCCAGTGTTTCACAAAAGCAGACCTTGGGAAGAATATTAATTTCAGTTTTTAACATCTTTTACTGCACCACATGAGAGCAAACAGTGTTTAGGATCTGACCAAGCCTCCCCAACTCCTGCTTTTTATCTTCAGTTCAATGACTGCTCTGGTTGCTGTCTACTTCCCTTGGTCCCTTGGCCTCTATCTTCCTAAGTCCTTCTGGGACACTGGTTCACCTGGTTAGCCACGTTCTACTGGTGGGAGAAGCACTAGAGGATCTAGTCCAGAAGGAAGTTAATTAATGAAAATTAATCTCTGGTCCAGTTGGAAGAGTGGGGCATGAGTGCTGGTGGGGTGGGATCTGGTTGCAGATCATAGTGTCCATGATTTGACCATCCTCTTTGGGAAGTGGCCTCCATTGTGTGGTGGAAATTCCTTGTGTCCTGGATAGCAGGACCCAGGAGGAATCAGACAGATCTTGACTCTATAAGCAAACTTGCTTGAGTTCTTAAAAAAAAGAAAAGAAAATCTAGACAAGACAGAGTCAGAATATAGGACATTCTATAACACAACTGGCTTAAACTCTTTTAAAAATTCAGTATTATGAAAAATTATTTTTTAAAATGTAGGAGTGCCATTCTAGATCAGAAGAGACAGAGGAGACAGAATGATCAAAGGCCTATTGGAGAGGGGCGAGTTATAAGAAAGTAAGCAGTTGGGGAAATCTGAAAATGGATTCTGTTAGATATTACCGAACTACTGTAAATTTTCTTATATGGGATAGCAGTGTTGTTATTTAGGAGACTGTCTTTATTCACAGGAGATACGCACTAAAATATTCAGGAGTGTCATGATATCTGCAACTTACTTTCAAATGCTTCAGCAAAAACCCAAAGAGAGAGAAAGGCAAATGTGGCAAAATTATTCCATCAATGTGGAAGTTTATGGATGTTAAAAATCTTAGTCACAGGCCCTAACAGTCATGGAGGATAATAACCACCTATTTTTAGTGTTTTCACACTGTTAGGGATTTCTACAGAGGTACCGTAAGTAGCTTTACGTCTATCTGTTTCACACACTGGACTTTCACATAGGATTTTATTTGAGAGAAGGATCCACTACAAAAAAAAAAACAAAAAAAAACAAAAAAAACAGTGAAACATTTCTCTGGCCATTCCCTAACACAGGGCAAGCCTCCAGAGCCCCCTGCAGACATTGGTGGTCCACTGGACTGTCCTTTTCAGTCTGGACTTGGCATCTCATCAAAATGGGCCAATCAGCCACTACCAGATAGATGACTGTGCTTGGTATCTGAAATGAAACTTATTTGCTTTCTCAGAACCAGCCCACGAGAGTGCTACATACTTTAACCACATTGTTTTCGTACCTCAGAATTGTTTTGCTTGAGGGATTAAAAATAAAAGCAATGGTATAAAATATGATACTGAATATACTGTGAGGTTGATTTTGGAGATATTCTCCAGCACCTGATTCACAGGCCAAATCTCTCAGTAGTGTCAGCACTGTGAAAGGCTGAGAGTCCCCCGAGCACATGGTTTTCTCATTGACAGAAATGGTGAATCTTGAGGCTGGGTGTTTAATTCTTCACTTTGTCTACTAGGAAGCTCAGAAACAAACCTGTGGTCCTCGTAACTATCCAGGAACTCGTGTATTTTTGTAAATAGATAATACCTCTATATTACTTTATTTTTCCTTCCCTCTTTTTTGGTCCATTTTCTTCATCTTTTTATTTTATCTGAAGGTATGATACTTATCTTTGTAAGAAATGCCAAGTCTTCTTGAGTTATTATGTGCTTAAGTACATAAATAAAGAGCGGTGTCAGAAATAGGGAGTAAGAAAAATTTGCAAAGAGAGAAAACACAGGCCTTACTGGCAAACTCATTATGATGGATGAAGGGAAGGCACCCAAAGATGTCTAGCTTTACTCAGAAAGTGGTGGACCAAGGACAGAAGTGGGGAAGGGAAAGGAAATGGTGAGATGATGGGTTAGATTGAGAGAAACTGATTTGCAGCTACATAGGCAAGCAGAGATTTTATGGGTCACTGGAATATGTTGTAAAGCTTGATCAAAGGTCCAGGTTGGTGAGATTGACTTGGGAGCTATCAACATTGAAATAACAGCTGAAGCCAAGAAGGGAAAAACTTTTCCTGGTGAAGTGCAGAGACAGAAGACCAAAATATAAGTAATGTGGGTAAAGCTAGGATTAGGGGTTTGGAGGAGAAATAGATAACCGGGATAACGAGAGGAAAATTAGTTAAAGAAGAAAGCATTAATATAATATTGCCACAGGTCAAATGGGAACATAATTTCAGAGAGCAATAGTGATGTTTGAAAGTGGAATGTTCCAGGGGCACCTGCATGGCTCAGCTGATTTAGTGTCTGACTCTTGACTTCGCCTCAGGTCATGATCTCAGGGTTGTGGGATCAAGCCCCGCGTCAGGCTCTGTGCTCAGCGGGGAGTCTGCTTGAGATTGTCTCTCTTTCTGCTCCTCCCCCAACTTGCGTGTGCTCTCGCTCTCTCAAATAAATCTTTTTTTTAAAGAGGAAGTTGCCAAAATAAGGGAGATGAAAAGGAAAGGACTATTGGATTTATCCTGGAAGCGTGCACTGCTGATCTGTGAATGGCAGGGCAGGAGCACACAATCCTGATCTGAGGGCCTCTGTGTGTCTCTTTGTGGTGTCTGCTAGTTGCCAAATCAATCCTGAAGCTCTGTCTTTGTTTTTTTATTACTTGGCTTCAGGGATTCTTGTGATTTCGCTTTATAGGGTTGGGTGGGGGAATGTCCATTTTAATCCTCCTGGGCTAACTTTTGGAACTTGTCCTTTTTCTTGGAGCCGCTGGTCTTGCTGGCAGCAACCTCCACACATCCACTACTGAGTGGCTTCTCCTCGGGAGGAAGAGACTTTCCTTTTTTCTTGGGGACCTTCCCCTTTCTTTCCTCTTTAGGGTCACTCACTGGTTCTTCCTCTGGGGAAAGATTTCTTCCTCTTGGGAAGACTTCTACCAGCTGTCTCTTCAAGATCACTACTAACCAGCTCCTTCCTAAGTCAACACCTGGTTTTAGTATTCTAATATCATATGGCAATCTAATATTATCTTGTAATACCTGACAGGGTCCCCATCTTAACATGTCTGTAATAATGGTGATAGGAGTAGAATCTACAACCTAAAATCTGATTACCGTAGAATATTCTAATTCTGAGCCCAAAAAAAGCGGGGGGATGGGAAATTAATGCAAATGTATTTATATATTTATCCAGGACCATGATACCACTCATTTCCATCATTAAGAAAATTCCATGTCAGCAAAAGGCTTACCTTCTCTATGTAGAAGTGTGAGCAGGTCTGATTAAACTTGCTTGCCACCGTGTTATATTCTGCATGCCCAGGCTGGAGCTCTACCACACAGAAATCCTGCTGCTTCATATCATTCCAGTGCTCAGGGGTCTTAACTGTAAAGAGGACATTTGAGGACATTGAGGACACACACCTGGGAAGGCCCATCCGCACATTCCTGGTCTGCTCTGAAGAACCGAGTATCATCTGTGTTCTTACTTTACAATCCCCTAACTCCATGCGTTCAAGAAGTTCCTTGTCTTTGTAGGAGAATGTTTCTCAAAGTGTGGCCCTTGGACAACTGACAGCAGAAGCAGCCGTAATGCTTATTAAGAAAAAAACCCAAAGATCTATGACTCAAACTCTCGGAGCAGTGGAGCCTGGGTACCTGCATCTTAGTAAGTTTCAATCATGCTTACATTTGAGAATTGTGTAGTGTAACTCAGCTGCATATTCTGTTCAGTCTCTGTCTGTCATAATTTAATAACAGGAAATTATTTCCCTACAATGGTCTTGTTGCAACAGTGTGGATTTTTGTCAGAACTCCTCACCCTCACAAGGCCCTCCACATCTATTCTGTCATTATTCTTCCCCGCATCCTTAAGGGTTGGGTGGACGGCAGGTTTGGCTCTGTGGCAGGTGGTGGCAGTTCTGCCTTCCCTTCTGCTGAACAGATTATACTTGATTTGTCCTTTCCCTGGGGTTGCTCAGAGTCTGAAGAATTCACTCACACGGATCTCACAAGAAATGAAGATTCTATACTGGAAGCCAACTTACTAGTCTCCCTTGGAGGACCTGTGTGGTTCATAGGCAGGAAAGGCTATCTACACAGCACAAGCATTCCCTTCATGGGGGGCAGATCCAGTCAGAGAATCTGAAGTCTTTTTCCTGGTGTGTGCCTTAAGGAAACCTTATGTTCAGGGCAGGGGAGGAAGTAAATTCTGGGAGGAGATCCCACAGGCTCCCAATCCTCCCTGGGTTATCAGTCATGGACACAGAGAGTGCCCACTCTGACCAGGCTGTCTTCTTTTGTTCTAGAAAACCTTGGGCCACTTTTCTTTAAAGCCCATGGCTTTCTGTCTCCTGACTGAAGCAGCCATTACCTCCACATCAGAACTGACTCTGGGAAGCATGTAAACTGTAGAGACAGGAACAAATGCAAGGTTTGGGTCTGGTCACCATTAAGAAGGTGGTCCTCAGGCTGTTGGGTGCACCCATGCTACATCTCCCTGTCCATGACATAAGCTCCTTAGCTTAGAGACCAAGTTTTCTACTTCATTCCATAAGGGTTGCTTCAATTTTATCTACGTGAATACAATTTCAACATATGTACAAAATGGTGTTAAGTCCAAAGGAGGTGTAAAATAATGGATAGCAAGCCCACAATCCGACTCACCTTCTGATTTCATGAGGCGCTGAACAAGTAAACTGTGTCCTTTTGCATCTGTAGCCGTGTGTGTACTCAGGTCCACTGTGTAGCTCTGATCATCAATTTTGACAACAGTTCTCCTTTTCTTTGCCTTCCATGCAGTCTCCAATTGCAGATTGGTTATTTTGTCAAAACTCTGAAAAGTACTATTGTTGCAATATTGCCATTCTATAAATTCACTGATTAACTCTGCCTGGGATTTCTGTTCCTTGGCCAATCTCATTCCTTTGATCATTTCCTCAATTGCATTTCTAGCCTGTGTCAGATCTTTGCCAATTCCAAAAACTTCAATCAAGGGTCTTTTATAGTCCAAGCAAATGGCAATATTTAAGTTCTCCTGTAGCTCATTCAATTTCTGATATTCTTTTTCATTAAAATCTTTGATACACTCATCTTCGTTGGTGTAAGGACATAGTTCCTTTGTGATCAGATCCTGTATCCAGGAGACAACATTTTTTATACATTTTTCACTTTCACCACACACCTGAAAACTTGCTGATTCTGTTTTCTTTTTCAAAACCAACGGATTCTGCTTTTGTGGAAATTGACTTGGGGATTCCACAAATGCTAAAAAAAGAAAAGAAAGGAAGATTAGCTATTGTTTTCTCTCCCTCCCTCTCTCTTTTTGTCACCATGCTATACATTACATCTCCACGACTTACTTATCTTATAACCACAAGTTTGTACCTTTTGACCCCCTTCATTCGTTTCACCCATCTTCATCTCCCACCCCACCCCTGCTGTCTCTGGCAACCTGGCAACCACCTATCTATTCTCTGTGTCTATGAGTTTGTTTGTTTTTTAAGATTCCACATATAAGTGAGATCATACGGTATTTGTCCTTCTCTGTCTTGTTTCACTTAGCACAGTACCCTCTAGGTCCATCCATGTTATCACAAATGGCTGTATTTCCTTCTTTTTTATGGCTGAATGATATTCCATTGTGTGCATGTGTGTAATATACACATACATGCTACATATGTGTGTGTGTATATAGATACAGATAGATATATATCCACATTTTCTTTATCCATTCATTTGTTGGTGGGCACTTAGGTTTTTCCATGTCTTGGTTTTGTAAATACTACTGCAGCGAACATGGGGGTGCAGATATCTTTTTGGAGATAGTTTCTTTTATTGTCACCTGAAGATAAATACCCAGAAATGGAATTTCTGGATCATATGGTAGTTCTATTTCTAATTTCTTGAGGAACCTTCATACTGTTTTCAACAGTGGCTGTACCAGTTTACATTCCCAACAGTGCACAAGGGTTCCTTTTCTCTACATCCTCACCAACACTTGTTTTTTGTCTTTTTCATAATAGCCATTCTATCAGGTGAGGTGTATCTCTTTATGGTTTTGATTTGCATTTCCCCAATGATGAGTGATGTTGAGCACCTTTTGATGTGTCTGTTGGCCATCTGTATATTTCTTCCTTGGAAAAATGTCTATTCAGATCCTCTGCCCATTTTTTTAAAAAGATTTTGTTAATTTATTTGACAGAGAGAGACACAGCAGGAGAGGGAACATGAGCAGGGGGAGTGGGAAAGGGAGAAACAGGCTTCCCGCTGAGCAGAGAGCCCAATGTGAGGCTTGATCTTAGGACCCTGGGATCAAGACCTGAGCCGAAGGCAGATGCTTAATGACTGAGCCACCCAGGTGCCCCTGCCCATTTTAAAATCGGATTATTTGTTTATTGATTATTTGTCTCCTATTGAACTGTATGAGATCTTTATATATTAATCCCTTTGTTTATTGACCCCTCTCAGATATATTAGTTTCAAATATCTTCTCCCATCCCATAGGTTGCCTTTTCATTTTGTTGATGGTTTTCTTTGCCATGCAAAAGCTTTTTAGTTTGAGGTAGTCCCGTATGTTTATTTTGCTTCTGCCATTTGCGCTTTGGTGTCAAATAAAAAAAAAAAAATCATTGCCAAGCCTGATGTATAGAAGCTTCCTCCCCATGTTTTCTTCTAGAAGTGTTATGGTTTCAGATCTTTAATCCATTTTGAGTGGATTTTTGTGTATGGTATAAGGTAGTAATCCTGTTTCATTCTTTTGCATGTGTCTGTCCAGTTTTCCCAGCACTGTTCATTTCAGTATATGTGCTGCTGAAGCAAGCATCCAAATACTATTTATTGAAGAGACTATCCTTTCCCCCATTGTATATTCTTGGCTCCTCTATTATAAATGAATTGATCACACAGATGGTCCCCAACTTACAATGGTTCAACTTATGATTTTTTGACTTTATGATAATATGAAAATTATACATATTCAGTAGAAACTGTACTTTGAATTTTGAATTTAGATCTTTCCCAGAGCTAGTAATATATGGTGCCACACACTCTTGTGATGGTGGACAGTGGCAGCGAGCCACAGTTCCCAGTCAGCCAAGCAATCATGAAGACAGACAACCAACACACTCACAACTATTCTGTAACCACAAAGCCATTCTGTTTTCACTTCCATTACAGTATTCAATAAAGTACATGAGACAGTCAACACTTTATTATAAAACAGGCTATTATAAAATAGGCTAATGTGTTCTGAGTATGTTTAAGGTAGGCTAGGCTAATCAAAAGATGAATGGATAAAGAAGATGTGGTATATATATATATACAATGGAATACTATGCAGCCATCAAAAGAAATGAAATCTTACCATTTGCGATGATGAGGATGGAACTAGAGGGTATTATGCTTAGTGAAATAAGTCAATCAGAGAAAGACAATTATCATATGATCTCCCTGATATGAGGAAGTTGAGAGGCAACGTGGGGGGTTTGGAGGGTAGGAAAGGAATAAATGAAACAAGATGGGATCGGGAGGGAGACAAACCATAAGAGACTCTTAATCTCACAAAACAAACTGAGGGTTGCCAGTGGGGAGGGGGTAGGGAGAGGATGGTTGGGTTATGGACACTGGGGAAGGTATGTGCCATGGTGAGTGCTGTGAAGTGTGTAAACCTGGTGATTCAAAGACCTGTACCCTTGGGGCTAATAATACATTATATGTTAATAAAAAAATTTTTTTAAAAAGAGGTAGGCTAGGCTAAACTATGATGTTCTATAGGTGAGATGTATTAAATGCATTTTTGACTTAAGACATTTTCAACTTACAGTAGGTTTATCAGATATAACCCCATTGTAAGTGAAGGCAGATCTGTATATTCATAGATTTATTTCTGGGTTCTCTGTTCTGTCCCATTAATCTATTTATTTTTATGCCAATACCATACTGTTTTGATTACTATAGCTTTGTAATGTAGTTTGAAATCAGGAAGTGTGATGCCTCTAGCTTTATTCTTCTTTCTCCAAGATTGCTTTGGTTATTAGGGGTCTTTTGTGGGTCCATATAATTTAAGATTCTTTGTTCTAGTTCTGTGAAAAATGCCATTGGAATTTTGATAGGGATTGCACTGAGTCTAGATTGCTTGGGGTAACACAGACATTTTAACAATACTAATTCTTACAACCCATAAGCATGGTGTATTTTTCCATTTGTGTGATCTTCAACTTCTTTCATTAGGTCTCATAGTTTTCAGAGTGCAGGTCTTTTATCTTCTTGGTTAAATTTATTCCTAGGTATTTCATTCTTTTTGATGTAATTATAAATGGGATTGTTTTCTTAATTTCTCTTTCTGACAGTTTGTTAAAGATTAGCTATTTCTCATATGACATCAATATTAGGAACAGGCATTTCATTAAAAAGTGGTCAACTCACGTGTCAATCTAGACCTCAAAGATGGCTGGAGAGAAGCCAGAGATGCCTCTCTTTTTTTCATGCTGTCACAAAACACATTCAGTAGGTGAGGCAGAAAGATAACAACTTTAACTTTTTTCACAGACTGGAGCATTCCTTTCTGGATAGAGTCTTTGATGGCATCAATCATGGCATTAGCAACCTCCTCTGGGTCTTTTTGGGCATTTCCTGGAAAGGCAGATAATAAAAACTGGGGTGAGGGAGACCCAACTGGGAAGGCTGAGAAATAATTTGGGGATTTGAGTCCTCACAGAATGAATGCCCACTGCCCAACTCATTCATCGTCACAGGATGGCCTTTCTAGCAATGCATGAGCAAACACTTTTGAAGCCCTGGATGCACCAGGGAGCTGCTATTCCAGGACGTCAGGAAGCCAATAGCCCAACAATGAACAAAGGACCCAGGAAATCTAACTTTTGATATCTGATGTTTGTATCTCCTCTGTCGAGCTAACACTCGCTCACTGTGTTCCTCTGTGTTACAAAGCGCAATTAACATTTTTTGGCTCATTCGTGTCCTCAAGGGTCTATAAAAAGCAAAAAATGCAAATATATGTTGAAAGCTCATGCTCTTTTTTTTTTTTTTAATCTCATGCTCTTTAAAAAGAACAATAATTTTTCTTCTTTGCTCATAGTCACCTGACTAGATGCATGTATCCTTATTCTTCCAGATGTTTTTGGGGACCTGATTCAAGCTAAGCTGATTTTTGTAAGACACTTGGAGCTCTAAATTATCTGTTGTAATCTATAATTCTTTGTACACCAGTTATCCACAAACTTCTAGGAAGTCTTTTCTAGCATACTCAGTGAGATTTTAGCTTATTTGCTGGGTTCAAGGTGGTCACCACAGCAAGTCTTTTTCTTTTCCCAGCATGTTCTATATCTTGTTTCTCAAGTCTACTGCCTAGGTAAGATCATGAAAACTCCCATGTAAAGCCATGGAAGCAGTCACATACAAATAAATGGCAGCTGGCAAATGACAATGGAGAGCAATACCAAAGTCCCCTGGCCAACCCAGTATGATAGATTAACAGCCCACTTGGAATTTCCCTTTTGATGGCATCCACAGTTGCTGCCAAAATCAGAGTAGACCACTTTGGCCTGGCTATGTAGACACTTGTGTGAAAGTAGACAAATCCCATACAAGACTGAGCAAGAGGGTTCCTTCAGTTTTTTGGATTAGATGATCCCGAAAAGAGAAATTCTCCTTTGCAAAGCTATGATTATCTCACGATTTTTGGAAGAATTTAAATGGGAGAGTTCAGATTCATTCATTCACTCTCAACATTTACTATGTCCCATCATGGGCTCACTCTCATCTAGTCACTTAGAACACAAAGGGTGTGATATATGGGCACGAAGAGGTAGTCAGCAATCAAGTATGAGAACCTGAGGAAAAGGCTATGGCAGACAGAACTATGTAACAAGGGTGTGGTATGTTCAGCCTGGTGTGTTCAGGGGAAAAGCTCTGTTTTTGAGATCCTTTTTTTTTTTTCCAAGGCAAATTCAGGGGTGAGGTATGTGGAGGAGAAACTGGGGCAGGGAGCCCAGGTCTAGATAGGAGGCTACAATAAAAGTTTAGGCAAAAGACGAGAGCCGAACAAAGAGAAGACGCCAGAATGAAGAGTCTGGTACAGGGACTGTGAAGATAGTTGGGAAGTGAAGTCACTAGGACCTAGTGGCCACCTGGGTTTATCTTCGACCCTTGGTACCCCCTTTTTTGCCACACACACACCTTGCTGTGTACACCCTGAATCGTGCTGTACTGAAGTTGTTTACATGTCTGTCTCTCACAGTAGGCTAGGTGCTCCTTGGGGACTAGACCCTTTTCTTAGCTTTCTGTCCCCAGTGCCTAAGCACAGTGCCTGGCACATGGCAGCCACTTGAGAAATAGTTAATCAAATTAGTTAATAAGCCAATGGACATAGGAGTGATCAAGAGGATAGAATCAAGGATTCTAGGTAGAAAGTGATGTTTTTAATGTGACCAGAGATATAAGAGGAAGGGCAAGTCTGGGGGAAAAGGCAATGAATTGGAGTTCACAGTCTGCTTTGAACTTGAAGTGCTGGCAAGTATCACTGACCACCCACTCTCTCCCCCTAGGCAGGTATGTGTAAGGAACCAAGGAGAGGGCTTCTTTGACTGCCAGAAGCCGTCTCAATCGCAGTCCACCTCAACTCATAAACACCACTAAAGGAGAAAGTTCCCCCATCCGTTAGTCTAAAGAGCAGCTCAAGTGGTGATAGAGATTAGTAAAGATGACAAACAAGGAGAATCTGCTAACCTTGATGTATTTGTGCAGACCAGCAATGCAGCCAGGTCAGTGAAAGAAACAACAGGTTTTCAGTAACCCAGAAATACTCAATCACATATGCATGCAAAACTAAAACAGCCTCATTTCCTTGTTTTTCTTGGGAAGGGCTGGGTCACCCTTGGGTTGTCTGATTTCTTGGCCCAGATAAAGTTTATGTAGAAACACAAGACCAGAGCTCAGGAGAAAAATAAATGGAGACAGAGACTGGTGAGTCATTAGAGGGTGTCCATAAAAGACAGAGAGGAGAGAGACAGACAGACAGACAGGCAGACAGACATGCTAGCTAAACTGCCAAACTGGATAATACCACAAGGGGCATGAAAACATAAAGGAACTATAAATTATACTTTCAGAAATATAAAAGTAATAACATAGATGTAGCATTCCATGTGGGGACACTAAGAGGAATGGTAGAAAATTACAGAAATTAAAATAACAGAAGACTAGAAGAAAGCTGAGGTGATAAGGTTGGTTAAATGTACCGAGGCTAAGTTTTTGGAGGACCTAGAACGTGAGCGTGAGACACTCAAAGAGATTCCTGCACAGCGGAATCACTAATCCAGTGCACAGTGCTGTCTCTGGGACCAGTCAGCTACATTCCACTTCAAGTCTGAGAGTTATCTGCTCCCTTGACCAGCTCTCTGGTCTCTGAGGGGAAACCAACCAGAAATTCGTAATCAACACCCATGTCTCAGATTCCTGGGGAAAGAGCTCAAAGAGCGTCACCTTACTCATGATAAACCCACAGCACCGTCCTTATATATGAAGACTTAATACAACTGTTATGTCGTCTGAGGAAAACAAAAGAGGCAAGTAGGCTGAAAAGAAGACAGTTGGAGTTGTATTTCTGACCTATTAGAACCAGAACCCATCAGACTCTGGGGACTAAGAGGCTTCTGTGCAGAGACGTCCTAAGGCCAACTCACACAGCCAACTGTGTAAGAGGTGTGAGGAGAGGCCAGGAATACTTATCTCAGAGTCAGTTACTGGGAGGTACAAGCTGATGCTCTGATGATCTCCATGGAGAAGGGATGGAGGAGGGAGTTAAAGACTAAATAATGTAGGGGACAGGGAAAAAAAGAAACAGAGGAATAAGAAGGAGAGATGATGGGCTTTCTTTCTCTTCCTTCCTTTCCTCTCTCTTCCCTCCCATAGTACAGAGCAAATGGACTCTAATATTCAACACTATCCTCAGTTTTCGTTTTCTCCTCTTCCTTAAACCACCCACAGTCCTTGCTTATTCTTTTAGGGGCTGCCTTGTGGTGAGGAGCCACCTTGACTCAGACTCTGCATTGACTATATTGACTATATTAACAGCACCAGAGCGAAGGAAATGGGGACTTCTTGATAGCCAGAGGTTACAAACCTGTCCCAATGGCTGGGAGGCAAACTGATGAATATTTCCGTTTTTCACACTCTTGCAAAACAAAGAAGATTGATTGCTTGACGTCACTTCCGCCAATGACGTGAACAATGTTCTTGCACCTCAATAATCCACCTTCGGTAACTATGTAATCATTGTTGCCCTTTTCAGCTGGGAGACGCCGCAAGACAGAGAGATGCAAAATCAGATACCGAATCCATTCTTTGATTGTTTAGAAAGCAAAATGTTTGGTTTGCCATATAAAGCATTTTATGTGAAAAGAGACTCCTAAGATAATGGTCTTTGAGGAATCTTTCTTATCTTTTCAAGTGTGAGATTACTTTTCACTTCTAATTGTCTATGATTAGAATTCTTTGGTCAAATGTATGATTTTAAGATTAATGTGTTGTCTCCCCAATCCCAAGACTCTCCCCAGCCTCTCCAAAGCCTCCCACAGTCAGCCTACTACTTACAATTTTGGACCAAAAAACAGTATGGTGCCTTACCTAGGCGAGAACATGCCATTTCCACATTTTGTCCAGCACATTCTAGAATTGCTCTGGACACCCCTATAGGAGAAAAGCAAGAGGGTTACAAACATGAATTGAAAAAAATCAGAATAGTACATCTGGATCAGAATGATTGCTTCATTATCTAAAAAAGCTTTCCTAATCATCAAAGGAATCCCATAACCTGGGTATTTCTGATAAGAAAGAAGAAAAATTCATAAATTATGTGTTACCAATTATTAGAGACCATGTCAAAATAATCTTAAAATTATTACTATTAATGAGCCAAAGTTGGGGAAACCAGTTTGGCTATAGCATCTATAGGACAGTTGACTATTAACACTACTCAAATCCTACAAGTAAAGTACCTGCTTTGAGATTAAATGCTTTTGATGTTGAATTTACAATCACATCAGCCTCTTCTTTAGTGATATCTCCAAAGGCCACCTGGAAGGTGATGGGACCAATTTTCATCTCATGCACATCTACATTAGGGCTGGACACAGTCCCACGGAAACCTGAGAAGAAAGGAAATGGAGTCCCTAAACAAGTCAGCAACAGCAAGAATGACTCAGATCTCACACTCTACAGATGCATTTCTCTCATACTTCTTCCCCCTCCAATCTCCAGCCCTTAACCAGCCCTGACTCTGAACCCCAGTGATGGTCAGTTTCTGAGAAAGGATTATAAAATAGAGTAAGTATCAAATGTGGACTTCTGCTGCTGGCCAAGGTGATGTCAGGCCCCCTGGCACCTATCCCACTCAAGAATTACAACTAAAAATGCAGGATAAATACAAAGAAGCCACGAACCGAGATCTGAAAAGTAAACAGCAGACAGACTGGAAGAGGGAGTCAAAACTTGAAGAAGCCACCGGTAAGGGGTTGGAAGAGTTTCTCATTTTATTTTGTCTTGAAATTTTCCCTCTTTTTCTCTCAGCACTGCCCCAAGGTGGCCCCAGTTGCAGAACTGTGCCATGAGAATCCCTATCTTTGCAGCCAGAGAATTAGAAAAAAGGGTCCCTGTGAACTGAAGAGTATAAGAAGGAATCCTCATTACTGTCCAGATTTTTCCTTTTTTAAACTCAGGCCTTGCCTCAGGATGAGCCCAGTTGCAGAGCTCCACGGTGGCACCACAGGGAGCCAAAATTCTGAGAAGCATTCTGTCTTTCTGTCTGGAAGAATGAAAAGAAAGGGCCCTTATGCTCTGAAAAGCATGTATGTGGGGACACCTGGGTGGCTCAGTCGGTTCGGTGTCTTACTCCTGATTTCGTCTCAGATGATGATCTCCTGGTGGCCAGACCAAGCCCCACATGGGCCTCCATGCCAGCAGGGAGTCTGCTTGAGATTCTCTCTCTCTCCCTCTGCCCCTTCCCCAGTTCCTGTGTGCACATGCACTTTCTCTCTCTCTAAGTTAAAAAAAATTTTTTCTTAAAAAAAAAAAAGCTGTTTAACTACTGGGTATTTACCCTAAAGATACAAATGTGGTGATCCTAAGGGGCACGTGCACCTGAATGTTTATAGCAGCACTGTCCACAATAGCCAAACTCTGGAAAGAACCTAGATGTCCATCAACAGATGAATGGATAAAGAAGATGTGGTGTATATATATACAATGGAATACTATGCAGCCATCAAAAGAAATGAACTCTTGCCATTTGCAATGATGTGGACGGAACTAGAGGGTATTATGTTGAGAGACATAAGTCAGTCAGAGAAAGACAATTATCATATGATCTCTCTGATATGAGGAAGTTGAGAGGCAGGGCGGGGGATTGTGGGACATAGGGAGGGAAAAAATGAAACAAGATGGGATTGGGAGGGAGACAAACCATAAGAGACTCTTAATCTCATGAAACAAACTGAGGGTTGCTGGGAGGTGGGGGGCGTAGGGATAGGGTGGGTTGGGTAATGGACATTGGGGAGGGTATGTGCTATGGTGAGTGCTGTGAAATGTGTAAGCCTGACGATTCACAGACCAGTACCCCTGGCCCAAATAATACATTATATGTTCATTTTTTTAAAAAGGGTATTCACATAATAAGAAAGTCATAGTGCTTACATGAGCATACATCAGTCTATTTATTAATATGCTTATATAATGGTAAATTACACAAAATTTTATTTATGATAATCTCTATTTCTTAAGAAAAGATAGAGGTTTAATATAGAAAAATATGCTTCATAACTACTGATTTCAATATCTGTGATTTAAGCATTCTTCTATGTGATATATTTCACAGCACTAAATATTCTTTTTTAAAAAAGTTGTATGTGTGTGCATGGGCCATACCTGTGGCTCTCTATCTCTCTCCCTCTTTGTCTCTCCACTTTGTCCATAAGGGCAACCCTTACCCGCAAAATTATGAGGCAGATGAACAGGCAGTTTAAGCTCCCGGAGAACCCTGTGTTTCTGGCCAGAGAACCTAGAAAATGGGCTCCCTTCAGCAGAGAGTATAGGAGTCCCAGACAGGTGAAAGCTGGAGAAGGTAGCCCCTATTCTGTGTACAAATACAGAGCTGGAGCTGCACATGTGGGGACAGACCCAAGCTGCATGGCAAAGACCTTGAGAACTAAATTAACATTGGAACTGCTGCCCACCCAGAAGGTGAGACAGAGCGCTTAGAATTAACTTAATTGACTGACCACCTGCTAAAACAAACAAAACGATCACCATTTTCCAGAAGATTTTAATAGGACCCAAGTTTCACAACATAATATTTAAAATGCCCAGTCTATAACCCAGAATGGTTTGTTCTGTAAGGAACCAGGAAAACATGATCAGTTCTCAAGAATCAAGACACTCAGTTATAGACACTAATCTCAAGATGATCCAGCTGTTGGAATTACTTGACAAAGACTTTAAAGCAACTGTTATAACTGAGGTCAAGGCAAACACAGCCGAGTGCCTGAAAACGATCTGGAATGAATGGAAAAAGAGGATGCTCTGCAGTTTACAATTTATAAACCATAAAGAAAGGAACCAAATGGACACTTTAGAGTTTAAAAATACAGTATCTGAAGTAAAAAAAAAAAAAAAAAAACAAACTCTGGATGGGCAGTGGACAGAGAAAAGAGTCCACGAACTTGGAGGTGGGTCAATAGAAATTGACCAACATGATGAACAGAGAGAAAAGAGACGAAAAAAGGAAGAGGAAGAAAAAAAGAGAGATCCCAGGGCCCATGGAATGCTATCAAAACACTTCACATTCAGGTTATTGGGGCACTGGAGAGAGACTAGTGTGGTAAACTAATTAAAGAATGACTGAGGGGCACCTGGGTGGCTCAGTGGGTTAAGCCTCTTCTTAACTCAGTGGGTTAAGAATGCCAGAATGACAGAAATCCCCAACTTTGATGGGAAACATACTCATTCTGATTCAAGAAGCCTCAGCAGACTCTAAGCAGGAGTTTGGATAAAGTCAAATGCAGCATGAGCAGCTCTGACACAGCAGAAGCATTTGGTTAGTGTTGTCTCTCTAAATGTACCCGTTCCTGCAAACACCTGTCACATCATCCTTAGACACTGGTAGCCATGTCACTACTCACAAGCCCACTGTAGAGATTATGTAATTTACCCATCTGCTCTTTCCCTTCAGACCACATGAGCCCAGCCAATGCTTTACATACTCAGGGGTATGGGATATAATTTAATATCTTCTTTATCACTAGCTGATTCTTTCATTAGAATCATCACTATCGTCTTTCACTGAACAGTTATTCAACAACTAGAAATAATTTCTCATCTCATAGCTTTACTGAACCTTGTGCATCTTCGGCCTTGGGCACTTTGGCACTGACAAAATTTCCATTCGTCCTTCTGGCAAATTCATCTAAAAATGCCTGGAAATACAAAGACAGTTTTGACTACTACAGTCCTCCATAGATGAATAAATCTGATTCATCAGGGATTTTGATCTTACATGAACACATACTTAGGAGAGAACAACTCTCAAAGTGTTACTCTCAAAGAAATTATGAAAATACTACATATAATTCTGTTTTTACAAATGCATTCTAGGAAAACTATTAAATAGGTGACGAAAGTTATAAATACAAGCATGTTCATTACACACTATTTGTAACAGAGAAGAAACAAAACAGTTTAAAAATCCAACAGGGAAATGGTTAAATAAATTTTGGTATATCCGTGTGTTGGAATGTTTAGCGGCCATTAAGAATTCCATTTTCAAAGAATAGTTAGTGGAATAGGGAAATTCTCTTTTTATACTATTAAATTAAAAAAAAGAATGATATGAAATTGCACTATATAATCCCACTTCTAAAGGTGCACATGTATAAAAGAAGATTACAATGAAATGCGATAAAAAAAATGTACGCATTTTGTATGGTTCAAAGTTTCCACAGTGAAGTACTGGTTTCATAATCAATAAGAGCAAGTATCTTGCCAGTTGTAAAAAACACAGTAGTTAAGAGAAAGACAGTCACAATGACAGCAACCACTTCCATTTTTTTTATTTCTTATTTGTCCCAGGAGAGGAATCTCTTGGGGAGTAGTGTTCTCTGAAGTAAGAGGCTGGTGTATGTATTTTAGGGTTAATGAACCTGTGAATTCCATTTCTTTGCCTGGTGGGGACATCCTCAAATCATCACTTTCTTCCTCCTTTAAACAAGCAAGAGAGATTTGGGGCGGGGGGTGGGGATAAGTAACATCTCTGCTAAAAGATTGATGCAATAATGGGAGGGGGAGGTGGGGAGACTACAGAGCCAGGATCCCAGGCTCACAGGATTCCAGGGGCGGCCAGGCTGGCTGGCAGGCAGGCAAGCTCCGTGTGTAAAGGTGGACTGTTGGTTGATGGACTCTCTAGCGCCGAAGATGGTGCTGGTATTTCTAGTCCCAACTCTCCTACTCCCATGGGGATGTGCTGAGTTCATTCTAACTACACCTTTCAATTGCATCTCATCCTGACATTCTCCTAACATTATTTACAGGACCACAGCCATTTTTCCTCTTACTTAGAGGACTACAACTTTTATATTAAGGACTAAACTTTCTATGTTCACATGGAAGGGAATCCTAGAGATTAAAGGAGGATTGAGGGATGTCAGCTCCACCATCATGTACAGGCCTTATTTGGATTGTGATTCAAACAAACAAGCTATAAAAACAAAATAAGGCAGGAGCACCTGGGTAGCTTGGTCAGTTGAGTGTTGGGTTCTTGGTTTCCACAAGGCAGGAGCACCTGGGTAGCTTGATCAGTTGAGTGTTGGGTTCTTGGTTTCCACTTGGGTCATGATCTCAGGGTGATGAGATCGGACCCGGCCCATGGGGTGGGAAGCCTCTGCACTCAGGGGGGTCTACTTGAGATTCTCTCTCTCCCTCTCCCTCTCCCTCTGCCCCTCCCCCTGGTGCAAGCGCATGTACACATGCATGCACTCTCGCTCTCTCAAATAAATAAATAAATCTAAAAAAAAAAAAAAAGACAAAACAAGGCATTTGTAAGACAGTGGAAATTTAAACATTGACTTGATAACTGAGGAAATAAGGGAATGATTTTCAGTTTATTTTAAGTGTGAAATAGTATTGTGGTCATGTTACTTTTTAAAAAGAATCCTATTGCTTAAAATAAATACTGAATTGTTTATGGGTAATGTATTTCTAGGATTTGTTTGGAAATAATATAGGAAGGAGGGAAATAAATAGAGATAGAGATGAAACATACTGGCCATGGGTTGATAATTATGAAGGTGATAATGGGTACAAGGGAGTTCATTCTACCATTGTCTATTTTTATTTATGTTTGGAGTTCTCCTTAATAAGAAGTTAATTTTTTTTTCTATATCCATAAATTTGCTTGATATTTCCCATGCTACAACTAGTCTACACTACTCCTTCACTTTCCTATACGGGAAATACATGGAAGAAACAACCTAATAGACCAACCAACAAGACATTTGAAAACATTAGCGCTTGGCTGCCAAAATAACCAGAAATGAGTGAGACTGTACCTGAATAGTTTCGTGATCACTTGGGTGCAGCAGAAACTGAACCTCTTGTAAAGCTGTCAGTTGAATCTTGCTACTAAAGTTTAATACTTCTGAAGTTATTAATTCAGCAAAAACAGTTTTAGGAAACCCCAGATTTCCAGTTCCTATTGCTGGAAATGCAATTGATCTTAAGAACAAGTTCTCAGTGATTTCCAGACATTTCCTGATTATGTCTCTCATGACCTGCAAAGCACAAAGCACATCTTTATGCATCTCTCCTAGAAATGGGAGTTAGAACAAAAAGGACAAGAATTTAGCAACTTTGTGATCTCTGTCTGCTCTTCTCCTCTCAAAAGAGGTTAAGGGCCGTCAAAAAAGGAAAGAAAATCACACAGCAGACAAGGAAAAGGGAACATCAGAGACCCTCTAAAAAGATTCAAACTCACTCAACAAGGAAAGAAAGAAACAAAGCAACTACTGTTCTAATCCTTCATTCTTTTCCATTCTTCATGCCCTCACCTTCCTATCCTCACTAAAGCTGTGTCATCTTCAATAACTCTTCTCTGTGCCCCAATAATGACTGAGCAATGTAATCAGTTTATATTATTAACTAGTCTTCAGGCGAAGTCAGATACGGCTGAAAGAAATGGCCATCGTAGTAGAACCCGCTGATACTGAGACAGACAGAGGCCACCCTACATTATAGGGAGAGGCGGGTCCCAAGGGTGACCGAGTTTCCCAGAGAATCTAGAACTTGGCCCCACCTTGTGTGAAGACGTGCACCCATCTCTCCACTTCGGAGCCACTACATGAAGCACATTCTGGCAGTGCAGATTGTGTCCACTGGTTTGGAGAACTGTGCCCATGCCAACAACCACTGCTTGGCCGACTCTGTCCAATTCCTCCTGGAGCTTTGGCCCCGCTTTTGTCACAAGGGCCTGAGAAAGGTGTCCTGTATTGAGCCTGAGATTCACGGGAATGGAGTTGACAAGAACATCAACCTTGAAGACAAAAACAATTTGTTTCAGATACTAACAAAGAGCATTCACCAAAGGATCACTATATTTGAGCCCCTGGGTTTGACACTAGAGGGGGGAAGCGATGACGATTAATTTCAGAGATTGAAATACCACCCAAGGCAAAGGGTTACGAGATGACTGATTTAAATAACACTCCAGGATGACAGAGAGCTGTCAAAAAGCAAGATATAAACAGCACAGGGTTTCTGAAAGAGTGCAGAGGCCACTGTCTCTTATGGGGTCTGGGAAATGGGAATCAGGGCAGCAGGCAAAGGGAGCAGGGCAGTCATAGAGGAGGGGATACACCGGGGAGGTTGGAGCTGTGAGCAGACTGGTTTGATCGGACAGAGCTTTTCTAAATTGGGATCGATTAAAACACCAAGAGAAGAGAGGAGAGGGAATGTGAAAAGTGATATTCAAAGCTGCACGGCCTGGGTCACCAAGGAGGACTATAGTTCACCCTGGTTCGGCGTCATTGACAAGATTCCTGTCCTCTGCCCACATCAAATGCTCTAATTTTTTGGTATCTGCCCTCAGCAAATGTGACAGAAAATTAACCTTAGATTTGCCAAAATGTGACAGGTATAAAGGCACTGAAAAAGTATACATGTCAAAAGGTAAGATAGTATCGTGGGGTTTTGCATTTACTGGCAACCTCACGATTTGAGTACACTTGCAGTTCCCACAATCGACTGGCTGGTCTCTGCGGGTCAGTGCCTCAGCAAAGCCTCCCAGTCTTCGAGGAAACCACTTCCGAGGCTGGGAGGAAGAGCATGGAGGTTCTTCCCCTGGGTCCTAGTCTGCCTTGGGCTATAGGCTAGCTGGAGTTGCGGGGGCTCTACAGGCAGGGACAGAAGGGACACTCACGGTAGCATTCTGCACATCTCCTTCCACCAGCAGGAGCCTCAGGTTTCCCTGGGACAATGAAATCTGTCTGTTTCCAGGAACGTTTGTCAAGACCGGCTGAACTGCCTGTGATAAACCGGGCAGAGGACCCGTCGGAGGCGGGGCGCTCTCAAATACGGTTTTCACAGTTTCCGCAAAAGCCTGGACAGTCTTCTCAGATGTATCCACAAGGTAGATCTCTTTCAAGGTGTGTCCGTCCCGCTTGAACTGGAAGTTTTTCTTGATAGCCAAAACAATCACCTTCACACACCGGGCTAAGGGAAAGCCCCGGGCTCCGGAGCTGATGGCCGGGATGGCTAGGGACCGGCACTGGTGTGTCTCAGCCAAATGGAGAGTTTCTTCTACAGCTCTCTTTAACAGGAGCATGCACTTCAGGTCCTCGCCGTCCTTCCACCTGGGCCCCACGGCATGGATCACATGGCGGTACGGGAGCTTTCCAGCTTTTGAGATGACGGCACTGCCGGGGGGGACCTTGCCCCTTGTCTTCACTATCTGGTCGCAGTCCTCTTGGAGCTCAGGGCCAGCTGCTTTTGAAAGAGCTGCTGCCAGGCTGTTGCAGAGCTGCAGGTCCTCGTTGGCGGTGCTCACCACCACCTCGACAGGAAACCGGGTCAAGTCGCCCTGCTGCACCATCAGCCAGACTCCAGGGGCCAGCTCCACCCGAGACAAGCTGCTCTGCTGCATGGTCAGCGAGACTCCCGGGGCCAGCTCCACCTGGGACAAGCTGCTCTGCCCATCCCTGCCCCCTCCCTCCCCCTCCCCTCCATTCTCCTGTAGGTCAATGGAACATCCAAACAGCCGTTTGACCTCTCTTTTATAATACTGTGCTTTCTCCTGGAAGAACTGGCTGACCAATGGCCTATCGATACGGACGCTTTCAATACAGATGGAATTTACGGCTTGCCTGACGATGTTCACCCCCTCCAGGACTTTGGCCTTTGGCCCAATTAGTAAAATGCCCTTTTCTTTATTTTCAAGATTGAAAATTACCTGAACATTTGTTGTCTTTATCTTTTGCCAGAATGGCTTTTTTTCTATCCTTAAATAATCAATGATTACAGGAGGCTTTATTTTAATCAATCTCTCTATTTTCGTGTGTTTTTCCACAAAGTCAAAAAGCGAGCTATAGGATTCATTCACTTCTCTCACACAGCCCGCGATGATGACCTCCGCTTTGGTTTCTGAAGTTAATTCATCGATTATTACAGTCTTTGAGGAGGAGTTGTGTCTCTTATACAAGCTGTGAGTGAGCGCTTTCCACTTCTTGCCATTTAGAACTTCCCGGTCGTCAATGTTGATGCGCTTGTAACTGAAGGCACTGACCATTTGTTTTTCGGCATCTAACAGGACTTTAGGGGAATAGCCGATTAAGAGAACAGTTTCACCCTCTAGCTCACAAACAGCAAGAATTTTCTGTGCCATGAAAAGCGACTTCGAGAATTCTGTACAGTCTCCTTTTTGCAAAAACTGGAAAATCTCAGGGGGAAGCCGGATGCTTTTTTGAACCATGGTGCACATCTCTTTCTGTATTTCACACTTGGCTTTATACACGTCTGTGTAGAGGCCTTTGAACCACACGTGCTGAGAGGCTTCATCATAACAAATCTCCATATCTGGGCACTCGGTGCGGAGACGCCCAAGGACATCTCTGTGACACAAAAGAAAATACCTTCCTGGAGAAACGGCCACTATCTCCTTTAGACTTTGCTCTTCTCTTTTAATTTTTTGAGTGGTACTTTCTATTAATTCCTTGACTTGTGGCTCAATGTTCTGTACATCCTCTGATCTCCCCACTAAGGTTACAATCCCCTTAAGGGTATCAAATTCAATCAAAATCCTGTCATCTCCTACATTATTTTTTATGGTGTCCCACACTACGGGATCCACTTTAAAGGGGGTAACTTTATATTTGGACCTGATGTTAGAGAATGCTGTGGAAACATCTTCCTTCCAGTTCCTGATTCTCAGTCTACCTAGACAGAATAATGTGGTCGCAGGTCTGATGGTAACTTCACATCTGAGTTCGGACCATATTAGATCACTGTGACAACGTATCGCTTCCTCATTTATCTCATCAATCAGATGCTTCTTTTTCTGTAAGAACCTCCATAAGGGAAGATCTAATGATTCTCTGAATGGTGCTGGAAGCTTGATCAGAGGTTTCTCCTTTCCGTACAAGGCCGTGCCCAAAGAGGTGTAGTATGGAAACACAGACAGTGGCATATTATTGAGGTCAAGTTTCTTGGTCATGATGGTGTGTAACACTTAAAAGGAAAGAAATAAAGTAAACCCAGTGTTACATGTTTCAAGTGAAAAAAAAAACAACAACACTTTTCTCCTAGGGAAAAAAAAAACCCTAATGATTGTAAAATTACGATGTTATAACATGCTATTAAAAAGCAGCACTACTCTCAAAGTGCTCAGATATAAACTGATTTTTATTAATATTACATAGCTATCCCTTGCTTAATGGAACCTTTTCCAACCAAGATCACTCTATGTTGAAATTCCATTAAGTAAATTCTATTTTCTGTTTTCTGGTAACACCAATATATCACCACCAGGTTAATAAATAGATAAAAATTTGTTCACAAATATGGGGGTAATGTTTGCCCCAGTGCAAAGAATATTCTGGTGCCCAAAGCAAAGCTCATGTAAGAATCAAGCTATTTTGCTGTTTTCTGTACCGTCTCACAGTTTTAGGCTTCCTAGCTGATTTAGATTCCTTTAATATCTCTAACAGGAGGAGCATAACGATAATTATCAGAGCTGACCATGCGTCAGACCCATTCAAAGTGCTTTCCATATATTTATTTATTTCAGCCTCCCAGCAGCCCTCTGAGAGGCAGGATTATTATCATCCCTATTTACAAATGATAAAACTGAGGCTAGGGAAGGTTAGGTAACTCAGTTAGGGTGATGTAAAGGACAAATCACTGAGCTCAGATTTGAGCCAGGGTCTGTCTAAGTCCAAAGCCCATGCTCTTGCCCCTTTTACCAGGGGTTCCAAACAAGATCACCTCACAGCCATTGGAGAGCCCAGCCCCTGGGACCTCAGATTCAGTAAGTCCTGCACCTCCCCCTTGTCCTTGCTATAATCCCTCTCCTGCCACTTCCATTGGAGCAGTCCCTACAGTGGGATGTGTGTGTGTGTGTGTGGTGGGGGAGGGCGTACTCTTCTTCCCCTTGTATTAGTTATGAGACAGGTACAGGGAGTCTAGGAAGGAAGAGAATTAGAATGAATTCCAATAACAACTTGGATTAAAATAACATCCTTGCAGAGAGATGTTAAAAATAACTTCACCTTGTACATGATTGTCTCCTAGGCATGGAGCCAGACGTCATCAAAAGAACATGGCCTTCAGAGGCCAAGACCCACAGCCTGAACTTCCCAATGTGGCTCTGTAAAGGCTCCAAGCCTAGGCAGGACCAGGGACCACTAATGTGTACTTAGGACCCACGATGTGCCAAGCACATTGCAGGCATAATTTCATTTGATCCTCACAAATTCCTCTGAGGCAAGTAGTAATGTGGGCCCTGTTTTACAGATGAGAAAACAGGCTTTGGTGGGTTAAAGTAACTTGCCCAACAGTGGACCTGAATAGGCATTTTTCCAAAGAGGACATGCAGATGGCCAACAGACATGCATGAAAACGTGCTCAGCACCACTAGTCATTAGGGAAATACAAATCAAAACTATGGTGAGGTATCACTTCACACCAAGCAGAATGTCTAGTATCAAAAAAGACAAGAAGTAACAAGTGTCAGCGAGGATGTGGAGAAAAAGGAGCCCTTGGGCACTATCGGTCGAATGTAAATTGGTGCAGCCACTGTGATGCATGGATAACGAGGACAGGGAGATACAGGCTTTCAGCTATGGAACGCATAAGTCAGAGAGAGGAAAGGGACAGCATAGGGAATAGAATCAATGATACTGTGATCACGCTGTAGGGTGACAGATGGCAGCTACACTTGTGGGCAGAGCATATGGAGTTGTTGAATCACTGTGTTGTCCACCTGAAACTAATGTAACCTTGTGTGTTGACTATACTTCAGTAAAAACATACATAGGGGTGCCTGGGTGGCACAGTCAGTTAAGCGTCCAATTCTTGGTTTCAGCTCAGGTCACGACCTTGGGATTGTGAGATTAAGCCCCCCATCAGGTTCTGCACTCAGTGTGGCATCTGCTTAAGGTTCCCTCTCTCACTCTCTGCCCCTCCACCTGTGCTCTCTTTCTCTAAACTATATATATATATAAGATAGATAGATATATATATAGATATATAGATATATAGATATATATATACACACACACATATACATCTATATATATATATATATATATATATATATATATATATATATATACATATATGTATAAAGTAAAGTAATCAAGTAAGTTACCCAAGATCACAAAACTAGTAAGCACCAAAGCCAGGATTTGAAATCTGATCTGTCTGACTCAAGAACCATCACAGATGTCACCTTACTGTGCCTTAACTTCTCCATCCTGTTTCCTCATCTTCAAGAAAAAGTTACAATATGCATGGCATTACTAGGATTCAGTGAGCTACTGTAGCAGAAAATGCAGCAAAAGATCTTACCTAGAGTAGGTATTAGGTAAGAGTTCTTTTCCTTAAGATTCTGTGAATCAGATTTTGTAAAACTGAACAAAATTAATTCCAGAGTAAGTGCTCAACTTATTCCTCTCAAATAATCTACATAAAATGTAGACTGCTAAGTAAATTGTGTTTTTAATCCAGCTTTAACTACAGTTGGCCTCCTTACTAATAACCCATTGTAAGGGGTGGGACAGGTGAGCAAATGACTGGCAAAGAATGGAGAGTTTAAGAGCATAGATTAGCCAGACTAGCCAAGTTCAAATCCTGGATCTGTCACTTACTAGCTGTGTAAAAGTAGTCAAGTTATTTGCCCTTTCTGTGCCTGTTTCTCATGCGTAGAACAGGGATTAAAGTAATAGCAATGCCCACAGACCAGGGTCTGCGAGTGCACTTTGCAGCACCCTGCAGAGCTATGCAAATGTAAGTCATAATTATAAGAAGGAGAGGCCAAAGAAAGAAAGGGAAAATCGGTGTATCTCAGATCAGAGAGAACAGAGTTCATGAGTTTAGATGAGGAGGCATGGTCAGCGTAGTCAGATGGTACAGAGAGGTCAGGATGAAAGGGAACCTTTGAGAGTGCCCTACCGCTCACATGTGTGGCTCTGCATAAAACAACCCCAATTAAATAGTTCCTATTATTAGTCCTATGTGGGTAATGTAGACATTCCGAGGACACACCCAACTGCCCCTGGCCTTCAAGAGGTCTGAAGCCCCACCATAAACAGGAGGCTCACTTCTACAGTAGGCAGCTTTATGGAGCTCCCTGCCTGGGCCCAAGCCCAAACTCTGGGAGATTGAAAGAAATTGTGACAGAAGCTCCTCTTTTGTCCCCTTGCCCAAGGAACACTAGAACTTTCATTCCATTTTAAGCCAAAGCATACCTTCACCCCAGTTTCCCCAACTCCTCAAAGCCAAAGGGAGTTTCCTCCACGGATCCCCCACAGAGCAGTTTATCTTCGGTGGGTAGAATACCACGTGATGTGTCTTATGCTCCCCCTGTTGGTCCCAGACCCACTGTTCCTTCTCTTCCTAAGGAGGCTGGCCCCCTAATTCCCACTCCTCAGCCTTCACCTCTGAACATCGAGTGGAATCTCCAACCTGACACTGTACGTGCCTCAGAGAACTGGCAATCAAGTATCGACAAAACCCTCAGAAGTGTTTCCCTAAGGTTCAGCTGAACATGGTTTTCACAGGGGTGCCGCGAAGAACAATGCAGCGGACATCCACTGGACCACCCCTATCAATTTCTGAATGGTGACACTGACAGGTGAAAGGGAAGTAGTGATACATTAAAGGAAGTGTATGTGTTTCTGAGTATTTCTTTACCCAACCTTATTGGAATTAACTTGAGAATTTCTACCAAGTATACAGCTAAAACACAGATAATCTTTTCTTAAATACAGTATTTCAAAGATTGTAAGAATTACGGGGTTTTCACTATAGGCAGAGACTCATGAGAGAATCTCCTTGTATCTTTCAAAACTGGGCCCTGCTTCTCCGAAGCTGAAATCACTGGACTCATTAACTATCATATCCCAGATGAACAGGATTACTAATTGGATTTCCAGTGAAATTTATGAATTAAAAAATAAAATGCATCAGAACTCAACTGATACCTGTTAAGATCTGCTAAAATGGCTTAGAGTCTGTGAGGTAGGTTCACAAAATCAGGCTCATAGATATTACCTTTTTTGTCAAAAAACTCAATCAGAGCCGAATTCTCTTCAGGCAAACACTCAATACTGGCAACTCTCCCTCCTCCATTTTGAGGATTTTCAAATAAACATTTCAGATTATAGTCATCAACACCAGGTGGCAGGTTTTCAACCCTGATTGTTCTTGTCACTTCCAGAAGTCTCGGAGAAAGCTGGAGTTGTTTCACGAAGTGATGCCTGACACAATTGTCAACAAATTTCACAGCATCTACAAATCAAAATCAATCAGTCAATCCGTCCATCCATCAGAAAATTATTATCATACTTTTATGTTATACAGAAGAAACTGTCTGAATATTAACTGAGATAAAGGAGATAGCTAAGTGCTCAATTTTTAGAGGCAAGGTCTTCATTTCTATATGAGAATTTACACGCTTACAACTCCTGGTCGGAAGAGTAACACACATGTAAATGTTTTACCTGGCGTACTGCCACTGAGCTGTGTCCCTCCTACAGGTACAGCTCTCTCCCACCCACCTTGACGTCCTACCTGAGTGTTCTCTCTGCAATACAAATCTCTCACTCCCCTCCTTTCTCAAGTCCTATGATGGCTCCCTTAGCTAGCCTTAAAATGCCCTTGGTTGGCTATTTGACTCCAAACTAATTTCCAAACATCACTTCTGGTTACCCTCTGCCATTCCTTTTATTTTCTTTATTGCCACAAAAACTAGTCATTATTTTGAAAACCTTATTCTCTTTTGCCTTGCTATATATAACCACCTGTACCTGAAATGCCCTTCTTGGGTTTTTTTTAATCCTGTCCTATTCCTCTTTCAGGACTGACACTGTTTATCTCTTTCAAATTAATAAATATCGATAGTGGGCTCACAATGAGCCAGGTACTGTGCTAGGATCTGGGGAGCCAGGCACTGTGCAAGGATCTGGGGGTAGAGAGATGAATATAACAAGTACTTGAAAATTTACCATCTAGGAAGGGGTGGGGGTCTTGAAAGCACACAAATGGCCTATTGTGGGATCAGATGAGGCAGGAAGACAAATAGTGGGAATCCCACAAGGATTGCCAGAGTTAAGTGGCTGCTGATCTGAGTTTTGAAGGATAAAGAGGAGTTAAGCAGATAGATTAGGGGAGGAAACTTTTCCTGCAGAGAGAAGAGCAGTGGCAGGAAACAACAGTGTATTGGGGACCTGAGAGACTAGGGCCACTAGAGTATAAACAAAGCCACCTTGTTTGGGTCCCCTTTCCTCTCATTCCCCACAGCCTGCCGCTTACAGTGGAAGCAGGCAGCTTCTTCTCTTGTGTCTTCATTTTTCATTTACATATGGGTCTCCAGCTCCATAGGCATTCCTCAAGGGCAGGGACCAAGAATTATTCATCCCTGTACTCACAGCACCTCAACAAGTGCCTGGCACATTGTAGGCATTCAAGATTTTCGATTAATGAACAAAAGCAAGTCCATTTAGTTTTTCCTTTATAAGAAATAATAATAGATTTGACATAAGAATAGCTCCCTTCGTTGAGTCTTTACCATGTGTCAGGGGATATACTAAGAGCTTTGCACACATTGTCTCATCTAATCCTCTTAGAAGCTGTATCAGGTAGGTCATTTTTCCTCCACTCTATTAAGGACAGAAGTCAAGCACAGAGGGGAGTAACTGGATAAACTCCGAGAATTAGTCAAATGGCGGAGCTAGAATTCTGACTTCACCATCCTCCTGCCACGGCCATGACATAGCAAGGGCTCGGATTAGAAAATGCCGTGGTCCTTCTAAACATGACTCCTCACACAGACCTTGAAGAGCCCTCATTCCCTGCATCACGTACACTTCCTCTCCTGCATGCGGGATGACCATGAAAGTACTAAGAAAAATACATAGAAAAGGACGTAAGGGAAGAGGCTATGTAGAGGTGGGCAATGGGGTTCAAATCCAAGAATTTATTAGCATCTCTGCACCTCTGTCTCCTCAACTGTAAAATGGGGAGTAGTAACAATGTCAAAAGGTTATTAAAAGGAACCAATGAGTTAACACAGGTAATGAGCTTGGCGTAGTACCTGACTTGCAGTGTCTCTAGATGAGTGTCTGCCATTATCAGCATTATTGCATTCCAGTAATTCCAGCTTGGTAACATAGATCAGTATTTACTTCTCCCAGTGAGATAATGCATGTGAAAATGCTGATTCTTCTGCTTGAATCACTTCTATAAGCTTAGACTTTAGATATATTCTTTTTGGGTGTGTTATCTCTGTCTCTCTGTCTATCTCTCTCTCTCTCTCTCTCTCACACACACACACACACACACACACACACACACACACACGATGAAGTCTGATTTACTAAACATACCAGAATTTAGTTTTAAAACAAATTTGCTTCTCTTTCAAAATAAAAAAGCACCTATATTAACCTATATTAATTTCCTTTTAACAAATTAAGAGAAAAAGTCAAGCTTTCAGAGACATTGAATTAGCTAGGTGTCTCAAATCCCAAAGTGGGGCGCAAAGAAGATTGGCAAATGCAGGATCACTTGATCTTACCCACATGCGTTGGAAAGGTAACTACAGCAACGTCAAAATCCTGTAATACTTCCACTTGAAAAGCATCATTGGACAGGCCACTTACATTCTCCACTATCAAAATTAACATTATATCGGTTACATTTGCCTTGAGATTTTCAAATGCAACCGAAAAGGAAGTATTTTCACATTCTGCTGAGGTATCTTCCATTTTCTCTGATCTTCTACTGGGAGAAAGTTCTGTACCCACTTCTTCTGACACATCTGATTTTAGAAGAACAAAAGAGGTGGAAGATGTTATATTTGTCTGACATGGTCTTAGCAAATTATCATAAGATGCTGTCCTCTTTCTTTTTCAATCTCTTGGCTAAGTCAAATAAAAAAAGATCTGAGAAGACTTTTCGCTTAATTTAGTTAAAAATAAAATGTAGCATGTAACCATCTATTATTGTTAAGTTTGGTTTTTATTATGCCCTTTTCTGCCTCGTCTCTCTGAGGAAACAGTCTTTCATCGCCTTGACATATGCTTCCAACAAGTGCTTAATTTTAGTTATGGAACTCAGTTTCTCCAAAGCAATGGACATGTTTATTCATCCTTGTATTGCTGGCATCTGGCCCATACTTGAGGCTCAAGAGTGTTTGCTGACTTACAGCTTGGGCCACTGAAGGAGAACAAGACTATCTGATGACGTAACACCTGAGGCTCCAAAAAGTAATATGCTTTCCTCACTGAAGAGAAGAAAGGATACTCACTGAATGACTAAGGAATATATATATATATATATATATATATATATATATATATATAAAATAAAATGGTCTAGAGAGCTGTATGTATACATCAAGCTCACGGATCAGCAATCCTCCCAGCCAGCCCATTCCCCTCCATCGTTGGCCCTATGTTGAGTTCCATCTGTGCATCAGGTCAATCCCACACTAGGCTTGCCCAGTGCACCAGGATGCATAGGATATAATCTTCAGACATTCTGTGAGTGACTGTTCAACTGGGGCCCTTATTATGTTCAAGGCACTGGAGGTGTGGAGAGGGGTGCATACAAAAAACATCACATAAGAAACTTATAGATTTTCTAATGGAGGTATACAAGAAAAATGATGAAAGGATCTGACATTTTATAAATGTTTATCACGACAGAGTAAAATGCTACACGCTCACCAAATCCATTTTGTTTTCTTTCTGGGCAACAGTTGCCAGACTTCCCACAGCCGAGTTCACGTGGCTAATGGAATATGGGTGGAAGTGTGAATTGCGCTTCCACGTCTGGCAAGGACAAATCTCCTTTATGTGAATTTCCACTCTCCTTGGCAGTAACTTTGGAGGCCGCATATCAAAAGTAATCTTGTCAAAAGATGGAAGGAACCTGGGATTCCTGAAGCAGTCTAGACTCCCCGCTTCCCCAGCTGCTGACCCCAATGACCTGTGATGTGGAGGGGTATTTGTTACAGCAGTTAGGTGACCCTGACACATACTCCTGTTTTGTGCAGATGTAACACCATGCACTCATGCCAAATAAAAAATAATTTAAGGTCAATAATAACACAGCATTCCATGAGACAGGTGTGACAAGGCTGAAGGACTGCTGAGCTGATGGTGAGGTTGTCTGAGTTCAACCCCTGACTCGGCCACTCTTTAGCCATATGACCTCAGGGATGTCTCTTTACAAGAGAGTCCTGGATGAACTGAATGGTAACAGCCTTTCCAGCAACATAGTTTTATAACTTTATGACTAGTAGGGGCTTCATCACAAGAGAGGCTTGCTTAACTGCCAAATAAAGGGCAGCACCAATCCAGCCAGGAGTCCGAGAGACATAGAAGGGGACGGGGCTGCCCTGGAAAGGCTTCAGGAAAAGGAGAAGCTGAGCGGATCTTGAAAGCCCTCTAGAGTTTAGATATAGAGAAGTGGGATAGAGGGGATTGTGGACCCCAGAAGTATAGGCAGAGTGCCATGACTGCGCCAGACTCCTTAGGAAATTGTGATCTGACCAATGAAGCTCAAGGAACACTTGTGTGTAGATGTAAGAAATGAGGCCAGAAAAGTTGGCTTCATCCAGGACATGGTGTGAACTTTACCTTGTAGTCAGTAGTAAGGGTGAATTGTGGAAGGTTTCTGTGATAAGAAGGACAGGATATTTAGCAGTAGAAAAAGGGCCGGTCAGATTTAAGGAAAAGGACATCAGATACAGAGAGACCAAGCAGGGTGCTCCTGCCATGTTGGATTTGTGAGGTAATAATGGCAGCCTGGCATGAGGGAGGGACAGATGATGAAAACCTTAAAAAAAAAAAAAAATTAAGTCTCTGTGACTAACAGATATGAAGGCTAAAAGAAGAGAGGTGATCAAAGTTTCCAGTAGGTGATGGGCAGACTGGTTGTATACTTCAAGAGAAATAAGGAAGCCAGAAAAGGTACTGGTTTGAGGAAGAAGATGATACAGGTGGTTTTGACATGGTGGCTCTAACATAATTTCCAACAGTAAGGTCAGACACAAGGTCCGGAATTTAGAAGAGAGTCCAGGGTGGAAATGTAGAGTTGAAAAAGCCAGAATTTGCTGACCACAAGTGACCAGTATCTCTCTGCTCTTGCATGTCTCTCTTCAATGGGTTCTTCCAATTGTTGGTTTCCACCTTGCAGACCCAACCCAACTCAGCTTAGCCTGGAACAGGACATTAGCTCAGTGCTCACATCCTCTGGTGTTGGTGTGTGGCTTGACTGACCTGTCCTTCCTCTGACTACTGCTTGCCCATCTCCAACTTTACACCCAGGGTTTCAGCATGCCTGGAGCACTCAGAGCACTGGATTCTCTATTCTCCTCACCCTTGAAATGTGGGACCTATTAGGGAAACACCCTCTACCCTGATTTTGCTTGGTTGTGAAAACTGTCTACACCATTCCAATTAACTTCAAGAGTCCTAGCCTTAGGGTCACAGTCAGGATTCAGGTTGGAGCAACCAAGTGACAAGGGACCTCCTCTTACATCTCTGAAGGGGGCCAATGACACACTTTGTTAAAGACTGCCCACCTTCCTGGCTGCATACTATCATTGGAGTCTGAGTCATGTAAAAACAGGGCAGCAAATGAGTCTAAAGTCTCAGGACAATGAAAAGTCCATTAGTGGGGTGGGGCTGGATGGCTCTTCCTGAGAATATCCTTGGTGTAGTAAGCATATCTGAAACAGTACTGACAAATCAGTTAAGACAGAGTTAGGGTAAAATCTATGAATCCATAAGAAACACAGACTTGATTAAAGTCTAGACCCAGGAAATGGTACAGATATAAATGTACCAATATAAAACCACATTGGTCTAAAATTGAGCTTGAGGGTACAGCGCATTAGGCATTTTCCAAGAATAGATAAGGATTTAGGGAGACAGAAGCAAGATGGCAGAGGAGTAGCAGTCTGAAATGACATCAGATCCCAGGAGTTCAGCTAAATAGTTATCAAACCATTCTGAACACCTACAAACTATCAACAGGAGATAGAAGAGAAGTAGAGCAGCAATTCTAGGAACAGACAATTGACCACTTTCTGAAAGGTAGGACGAGCAGAGAAGTGAATCCGAAGCGACAGGAAGATAGACCGTGTGGGGAGGGGATGGCTCCCAGCAAGCAGTGAAGCAGTGGAGCACAAAATCAGAACTTTAAGAAGTCTGCTCCACTGAGGGACATTGCTCCAGAGGCTAAGCAGGGATGGAGCCCTCGCGGGGATAGTATAGTCTCAGGTCCTGCAGGGTCACAGAAAGATCGGGGGTGTCTGTGTGTGGCACAGCTGCCAGGTACCAGAGCGGGGAAGCCGACTACAGAGACAGAGCTGAAGAGTGAGCTTTCAGATCGGGATAACCTTAAACCATGATCCAAAGCACAGTCAGACCACTGCTCTTCAAGCAGAAACCCCACAAGTGGTAGATCCAGGGAGGCTCACCTTGCTGCTCTGGGAGAAGCAGCATGGCAGGAATCTGCTGGGTGTGGAGACTCCAAACGGGGCTGTTCACCAGAGATAGAAATGCCCAGTCACAGGCTGGATGAACACGGAGTGTGGCCAGAGACCAGGAAGACAGAGGGGATTGACTGCTTTTCTCTGAGGGTGCACTGAGGAGTGGGGCCCCGAGCACTTGACTCCTCTGGGCCAGAGATTGGGAGGCTGCCATTGTCATTCCAGTCCTCCAAAGCTCTATGGAAAGCATTCAGGGAACAAAAGCTCCAAGAGTGAACCCGAGCAGATTACTTAGCCTGGCCCCTGGCACGGGTGGTACAATTCGCCTTGGGCAAAGACAGTTGAGAATCATTACAACAGGCCCATCCTGAAGAAGAACAGCAAAAACATCCAGCCAAGACCAAGTTCCCAACTCAAGGAGAACAGTGGCACTCCAGAGCTAGGGGAAAGTAACACATAGCATTCATGGCTTTTCCCCCATGATCCATTAGTCTTGCAAAGTTAATTTTTTTTTAATTTTTTTTTCTTATTCTATTTTTTTAACTTTTCCCTCTTTCTTTTTTTAATGTTTTTTAACTAGTTTATCTTAACAATACCTTTCTTAAAAAAATCTTTCTAAACTTTCATTGTTATAGTCATATTTTATCCCTTCATTGTATTTAACCTTAATTTTTTGTATACATATAGGTTTTTTCTCCTAAAAAATTTTGGGATATAATTTCTTCTAATAGCTCAAAATATACCCTAATCTAGCACATGGCTTTGTTTTAGTCCCCAGCCTGAGCACATTCCCTTCTTCTTTTTTCTTTTTCTAACCAACTTATCTTATCAATTCCTTTTTTAGAATTTCTTAAAAATTTTTCATCTTTATAGTCATATTTCATTCCTTAATTGTGTTTACCTTATTTGTGTGTGTGTGTGTGTGTGTATATATATATATATATATATATATATATATATATATATATAAAAGCTTTTCTTTCTGTAACATTTTGGGAGGTAGTTTCTTCTAAAAGACCAAAATACACCCAAAATCAAGTGGGTGGCTCTGTTCTGTTCTATTCAGATGAATAGACGTTATATTAATCTATAAATAATAAAAAAATTATATATGTATGTGTGTGTGTGTGTGTGTATAGATATATAGATATATAGATATAAATAAAATTTTAAATTTTATTTATTTTTCCCCCATTCTTCTCCCCCTGGTTTTGGACCTCTTCTGATTTGGTTAGCATACTTTTTTCTGAGGTCTTTGCCACCCTTTTAGTACTTTATTCTCTCGTTCATATATTCTTATCTGGATAAAATGACAA